AAATAATTCGGTGGTTTCGCAAGCGAATTGTTTCACTGTCATGAACCCTTCATGATTCTCACATAATTGACTCTACGCTCTCCAACGTGCCCCATCGGCGAAGCATCTTGATACTGTTACGAAGCAGCAACTCGCGACCTATGGTTTACTTAATCGACGTTATGGAGGAAAGGCAGCGACTAGGCCCAAAGGATATCGCCAAAGGATATGTTAGTCCCATCTGTGTTGTCTACAAATATTCGGCTTTGTTTCAACAAGTTTGATGGACTTCAGCAAATAATGGACGATGCCTTCGACGAGTCACCACCATTCACCTTCTTGATCCAGAAATCGTGACTTCAGGAGTCCTTCCATAATGCGATTGCTACCTTTATTGACCATCAAACGTACAGGAAGGGATGTTGCGCTACGATCAATCCCAAAACCCGTGGTGGTGGAGTACCAACTTTGATAAACATCACCCCGTGTCCATTATCTGGGGTTGAAGTGTATTCAGACATTAATCTACGGACATTCTGAGTCACTTTCTCCAGTATATTGTTTGATTCTTCAGGCATGCTCCAGCGTGATTCTGGCGAATGTTTACATCGCTCGTCGTACCTACGCTGAAATTGACAGCTGTACCGACGTCTCCGAGCACCTGGGCCACGCTTTATATCTGATAGCAAGTGACCTCAACCGTTGCAGTGCACTTCTGTTCACTTCACTTGGATTAATTAACATGGTTGATCTTCCAACTCGACTGCTGTAATTAGAAAACGACCAACCATAAATCTTTGGTGTCCGGCGGGTGGCTCCAAATGCAGGTTCTGATTGTTGCACTAGAAGACTAATATTTAAGACTTACAGTAAACTAGTGAAACTCAGAGGCATTCGTTCATTGTTTGCGCCGGCAATTCTGTCCAGTAGAAGTTGATCAGATGAAAGAAACGTTTTAATGTATCGTTTTTGTGAAAATTCTACCACAGCTCTCTGGACGAACACACAGCATTAATCAGCGACATATCGATTTCGTATGCGATAGCTGCTGTTCACTTAATCAGATGATGTTCACCCTTAAATTCGTGACAACGCAAGCTATCAAATGAGTACGTCGTCAGAAGGACACTGCCGCTCTGGGTATTTAAATCTGTATATACTGATTCGAGATCGAATTTGGCCAGAAATTTTGAGCATCCGAAGCTCCTAATTCTATAACTGACTGTCCTGCAAAACGCCGATAATCTATTTTCCATTTTGATGGGTATGGTCCTTCAAAACCAAGCCGCCAGAACATCCGAATGCTCTATACGTGAATATACTGTGGCTTCAACGTGACTATGCAGTGGCTAAACCATCATATCGTGATCTAATCAGTTCTCTTCAATCCAAGCAGCCCGCTGGTTCCGACAAGGCTGGAGTAAAACGCTGTCTGACCTCCATAACGCCCTGCCCTGATGGAGTAACAGCAAGAACATTGTGTTATGTAAAAATCAGCTATCAGACGTTCCCCAGAGCTTGTTCAGCCGTTGTCTCAACTCCAAGACCGTCCCAGACTATTGGATTATAGCAGAAATTACACCAGTACTAAAGATACTGGTACAAACTTTACCTGAGGATTATCAACCAATCACGATAACTTTCGGTAAAAAATGCCAATCAGCAATGAAATTTTATCTTACGCTGACACGAGAGCGAAACTTGCAAACAACATCAAACGGCAGTGATAACCGTGCATGTGAATGCCGAGTGGAAGCGCTTTAAGCGCACCTTACTCGGGGCTAGCGCCAAACACTGCGGTTTCAAACCGGTTCTCCTGCAGCTTGCAAGTCAGAAGCGAACTTCCTGTTGAACACGCGAGGTTCAGCTGGGCTGTCACTGAGAAGAAGGCTGCATTCAAGAGATGGCTTGGAAACACGGAGCCTTCAATTAGCATACAGTATGAGGAAGCGCGCAAGGTTTTAATGAATGCAGCGGCGAAAGCCAAAGCTGATTACGACGGGAGCTGCTCGAATTGAATTTACAGACGGTGATCAAGGATTTCTGGCAGACCATTCACAGCCTCCGAGTTGAAAAAGTGCAGCCTAAGAGTCCTGAAGGACAAGTATGGGCGCCTTCTTACTGGGGTTGAGGACATTTTTCGGCGACAGAAAGAGTGTCTTGAGAAACTTCTTAAGTCTAGGAAGACTCAACTGAAAATAGCAGGAAACGGATATTAACATCTCTGTATGTGAAATCACGCAAGCTCTGAAGTGTTTAAAAAACGGAAGGGCTGCAAGAATCGGTGAAATCAAACCTGAAATGTTTAAAGAGTTTAACGTACAGAGCTTACACGTATCTGTCAAACTGCAATGGCTGTTGGGAAGACTGGAAAGAACCGGTTGTATTATCGCAGATGGAATAATTCCTCCCTTACAGTATATCTGCCTCAATCAATTCTTCCTCCATGTTACACGCTGGCCTCTTGTTTGACATTTCCCGTTCTTGAGTTCCAACACGAGAAATTCATAGGCTGATTTAAACGGTGCATGTTCAACCAATTTGTCTACCATGGTGTATTTGATCAAACAGGATAATTGAGCTTTTTTCATATTCAGATTCCTTAGAGCGCGCCGGAGGTATTCGATTAGCCCCTAACCTTTTAATTTTAAGGTGTTGCAAGGCTTTTTAATTAGTAGTTTTGTTTGTGGGACTGTACTCACGCCTGGTGTTGGCGGAGAATTATCGGTAAGAAATGTCGAATATGGCGGAAAGTCGTTGAGCAGCTGCTGGCAGTGGTCAGCCCATCCTTTGAGGCGTTCCTTCTGACCTGCTAACGGGATATCCTTAGCGTTTTTGGTAAGGATAGAAAGAATCCCCTCATTATCAGACAAGTGTCGTTCTCATCTGAACACTGCTCACAACTCACTCAATCTTGCTGCTTGTTGAACTTTTAATTTTTCAATCCAACCAAAGTTTCTTATCCCGCCTGTAGCCCTGGTTGACCGCAAAAATGAGACTGCAATGATCTGCACTCGTTGGTGGCGTAGGGTGGTACAAATACTCCTACTTTATGATTCCTTTGAACTCTAATGGCAGCAGTTTTACTGCTCCCTTTTCTGACCCAAGATATGTTTCTCACCGGAGAAATGACTACTTCTTTGAAGTATTTGTAATCTTCATTGACGTAACCAATTGCCGACTGGGCACTTAAAGGGACAATAAAATAATTTTCTATCTCATCGTGTATGGTAATCAGTTCGGTTCATCAGGACTGATGCTTTTTAAGCAGAAACGACTAATTGTAGAGAAAGTTTCACTTTGACCATACGGTGATCTGACGCAATGATTGTGCCAGACGAGCTCTGCCTAAAGTGAGCCTCCAGTAACGAGTTGTGCCATTTTCGGTTGATGGGGATATGGTCCTGCTTTGTGTTGAATCATCCACTGTGGAACTCTAAAATGGTTTGGTATGAATATGCCTATGACGTAAAAATGCCGACCGATGAATTGGGTGTTTATGGCGCAAAAGTTTAATAGACGCCTGCCATTGCAATTCATGTTTCAAATACCGCTATGGCTAAATGCGCCTGACTATATGCTGCACTGAACGCCAGCCTTCGCGTTTAGGTTACTTGCAGCAATCGTGACCTCTAGACACAACAAAGCCCTAGCGTCTGACGGCGTAGCAGTCATAGTCTTTATCACTTTTATTTGAGACATTTGGCGGGGTATAGGTAAAAATTTAGTATTCAGCGTCGCCTACTTCTCATTTACGTAGCAGACCAAGATTATCTCCAAAACCCATTCCACGGAAATGACCTTTCAGCTTATGTGGACAAGAGGGTATCCATCTCTTCACAGCATAATTTACTGCCAACTGATCTCAAAAATGGACGCCTATTCTGTAATTACAGCGTTTCTTTCCGTTTCTGCTGGTATGTACCGAAGGGCCATATGGCAGACATTATTTAACATACCTTCATCAGACAAAAAAATGAATGTTTCGGCGTACAACAATAAACTTACCTCTTGCAATGTTGAATGATTGAATTGTGAATTTTTCTTTCCTACTTGATCAATTAGTTGTGAAGGAGAATCGCTAGCTAAAAAATTAATCTGATGACCGTTGTGGTTGACAACTGAAATGGTGCAGAGGGCGTCAGAAAGAACCAACCTTACTGAACATGTGAAGAGGCTGAATTGTTGATTTGTTCTTAAAGGAAATTAATTTCAAAAATAGCAACAGTCATTGATAAATGGCATACCATTTCATCACACTGTTTAAATGGTAAAATTTAAACGAACTGGCTTGATAGCGTTACAATCTGTGTAAAGAAGCACACCGAATCATTTCATATCTTCCACTAATGACTGCATTAGTAGTTTTTCCTATCTCTTTTTTCGTATCTGGCTATCTTCAGAACATCGCCCTGAAAAAATCACTTTCCTCGTTAATTTCTCTACACAAGTCAAAACTTCAGAAGATGCACCAATGTTTGCCCAAAAGCAGGACTCTACGTGAAATTCCGGTTTCTGAGACACGTAGCTTAAACGGAAATTTTTAGCTTGATAGTTGATTCATCAGCCTGCACATAAATACACCACAGGAACGCTCACCGTTGCCTAATTTGAATCGATGCGTGTTTATTGATCTAGTGCGTAATTAGGAGTTACAGTTTTTAATAACTTTTCTACAGTACCTGCATTAATCTTCAAGTATGAAGCAGATTTCATAGCATACGGTGCGACAAAACAATAGGCGCGATCCGAGCCTTAAATTTGATTTTGTGGACGAAGGCTCGGTATTTTTGCCGGTTTCTGGGTTATATAGCTGTAACCGGTCGCGAGACACGT